GGTGTCCACCAGGACGCATACTCATAGCCGCTTACTCATATGTCAAAGCTAGTTCATGTTAAGTCATTGAGGTCCACGCGCAGGCACATCAATGCAAGCACTTACTCAATATGTTCAGAGCAGTTCATGATACAGTCGTATTGAGTGTCCACTCAGGACCATATGCAAGCCACTTACTCATATTCCATGACCGCAATACTGCGGGGTCCACCTTACCAGAATATTCCTGTATGTTGCGGCTGGGGTGTCGTCACCCAATATGGGGCCACTTTACCGAGATTGTTTTACATGTTAGCGGCGTTGTCCATAACCCATATGGGGTCGGGCCACTTACTCACGAAATTTGTAATATTCGGTGGTGGTGCTCGCTCACCATCTGGTTTCATGCCCTTTGCCCTCAGATATGGGGTCCATCTATCCGCTGGATACTATCTTGTCACATCCGGTGTGGGGATGTCGCACGACCACTACTGGGCGTCCCAGGGGGGTGGGGTTGGGGGCATGACGTCGCGAATGCGCCATTTCACGTCTGCTATCTACTGCTCCCAAAGTATGTTACTTAGTATTCTTATTAAAGATGGATTAATCTGAGATCGACGTAGGGTAACTGATAACTACTTGAGTGTCCCCACCCAGGACATTAGACCAGCCCACCTTACTCAAGTATTCTAACACAGTTCACCATCAACTCATTTGAGTGTCCCACATAGGACGGCATATGGCAAGCCCACTTTACCTCAATATGTCAAAGGCTAGTTCATCTGTTAAAAGTTCATTGAGTGTCCACTAGAACCCATATGCACATCCACACTTTGACTCTGGTTTTTCTCTTTGCAATGAGCCGACACATTTCAGGGTTTGTTTTTCTTTCTGTTACGCTTTTGTAGGTAAGATTTACAGAGAGTACGGCTGTACTTCAATATGCTCGACAACTAGACTATAGATCATAGTGTAGGCTAGTGGCAATATCGAGTTGTCTGGAGCCACTACAGGGACTCATACCAGAGCACACTTTACGCAAATCAAGGTAGAGCTAGTGGCGGGCAGGTTCAAACGCCAGAGAGCACAAGTGCTACGCTTACATTGATCGGCTTAGTGTTGAGATGTGCATCCAGGACATATGCTATAGGGCAGAGCATCTCTACCCCAAGCTCATGCGAACAATAGCTCACCTGTGCGTGATTGGCCCCAGCAGTATCTGGAGTATATACGATCGCTTTGGATAAAGGTTAACACGTGACATCGTAACTGTAATGTAAAATTAGGTTAATAAGACATGACACTTCTGTGACTGTGTTGTAAAGCTTAAGTGGACCATATCTGGCTATATTTGAATAACATAGTGTAGGAATACTATATCCAGGCTGGATTTATACCTGTTTTAATTTTTCAAAATACCAAAGCAGATCATGCAATTTAGCATTCCTCATTTCACTCAATTTAACCTGTCTTTGCATGGGCTGATTGCTGTGAGAGCAGCACGGGCATGCTACAGGCCTGGCATATGTAGGCTAAGCGTCTCCAGGCGCTTGCGCAAGCAGGCAATGTCCGTGCTGTCCCTCCTGATTGGTGGAGTTGGCAATAGGCTGTAGCGCGCCAGCTTCTGTGATGTCAACTAGAAGCGGCGTTCAATCTGGATCAGTCTGTATCAGATCCGTTGGGCAGACCCTTTTTAAGAGATTTGGGTACTAGGAGGAAATAGAGAGGGTTGTGTTTTTGACACTTGGTGAGTTCCCTGGAACACCGGGGACACATATTCATGTATAAAAGACGTACACAAGTGCATTTTGCATGATAGGTCACCAATATGTTTTTTCTGTAGTCTAGGTACATTTACATGCAGCACATTGCTTGAAAGATCTTTGTCTTATACAGCTATCCCAGGGAGACACTCAATACCTCCATCATACCAAAATCTATCTATTTTACGAGAGGTAAACATTGACCCTGCCTGTTCCGCTGCTAAACGCCTTGAGAGTTGCCTAAGCATTATTTCTGCATGTACTAATACCTTCATATTCTCTCTCTGTGTCTAGTCACTGTCAGATAGTTTACAGAGGGCCTTTTTCAACATCATTCACCCCAGATAACATCAAAGCTGGCTTGATACAGAGTGTTTATCTGGTTGTTTTGGGATTTGAATCCTGTTGTATGAGATCACAGAAAGCCTTTTTTGGCACTTCTTTCTTTCAACCGTCTGTCTTGTCTTTATACGACATGGGACAAACATTCGGCCATTCTCCTGGCCAATCCTGTGTAAGTGTGTCAAAAGACTTTTATTCGATTATATATTTGTATCTGCCTCCAGCCCTCCTGCCTTTGATAGAGCAGTGAAAGGAGGCTTTCTCAATGTGTAATTGTTCCCTGCCACTGAGTGAGGAATAGATAACTTTGAGTCCAATAGAGTGGAGTGTCTTACAATGAGCTCATATCCTTTTCACTGAAGCAGATTATGTCCTATTCCTGCAAAGCGTGTGAGGATTGTTTCGACTTTCAGCTCTTGCGTCCACTATCCCAGATGTGAAAAGAAGAAAGGGGGAAAGGTCACAGTTGAGCTGAGCACTTCTGGATGTATACACCAGGTGGCTAAGTTTAAATGCCACCTTGAATTGGTAAAAAGTTAAAATCCAGAATAAAGCTGTCAAGTCCAGATTTATTTTTACAGCCCTTCACTACCCTTCGTTTCAACACCAGCTTCCTTTCCACAGCCTTTTGCCTGGTTTTAATACGGTCTGATGACAGAACGGGCTGTCCATGGCCATACAGCCAAACTGTCATGGGAGTACTGCATAATGGGGAACCCTGCGTCCTACTAGTGCAGGTTTAATTAATATCAGGAGGCATTTCTGTCCCTATTTCTAAGGTCCCCACGAAGGTTAGTGAGGTTCTAATTTTCAGGATAATGAATACACTTGACATGAATAATAAATAAATGATAGGATGATTTTAACCGACATTATTATTACCTCATTACACCAACGTAACTCCGGTTCAAGCTCCGTGCTAGAGCTTTTCAGGTTCAGAACCGGTTCTTCGGTTTAGCTCCGGCTCTTTTCACACTGCCCAGAGTCCGACTGGTGGGTCATCGTTTGCGTCATGACGTAACCGTTTGCTTGCCTCCTTCATAAAGCCAAACCTCGCGGAAACCCCTCACAGCTGACACTGACAACAACAACAATGGCCGATTGCGCTCCAGCTTCCTCTGTACCTCTTCAGAAGACCAGATTCCCAGTAGGTAGCTGGTCTCTTCAGTGGACCACTGCTGCTTGTTAAGTTTCTCCATCGTTGTGTACAAACTGGATAAAACGCCGGCTTTTTGTTGTTGTTCAGGAGTTGTTCAGGAGTTGATCCCGGTGCTTGAAATGAACCGGATTCCGGAGCTAAGAGGCTGCTCCGCTGCGGTGTGAAGAGGAAAACCCGGTGCTTTTCAAGCTCCAGCTCCGAACCGGCCCTGAAACACACGTTGGTGTGAATGAGGTATATAAGTCAAACTGAAGAGATTTCTTTTTTTATTTTGACAAGCGCTGTACATGATTCATCCAATTAGGGTTTGAGTTCTCTTTTCTGTGTTTAAATGTAATCATATAAACAATTGTGTTTTTGAATGATTTTTTACATTTGCTGGATAAATTGAATAGACGTAACGAGTGTCTGGGTGTGTTTATTTGATTGACGCTGTGGGGACATGATCTTGCTAACACAAGGACATAATGGGGTTTCTGTTGGGTCTAAAGAGGTCCTCACAAGGTTTATCACTGATTGTAAAGTTAAGTCTGGGAAGCAATTCATAAGCTTACTTGCAGAGGTTGAGGCAATGATCCATATCACTTGAATATATTGATATCTGTACGAATTAAGCAGGAGTCAAGAAGCAGTTAGCTTAATTGTACAAAAGGTCTGGGAACTGGGGATTATGGGTTGTTATCAATGGTACCTAAAATATTGACAAATGAGCATTTATGAGCCATATCTCATTTGTTTAATTTGTAATCTTGTCATCACTGTAGGGTTACTAGGCAACAGATGTGTGTGTTTTTTGTGGTTATCTCCCCCATATAAGAGACACAAATGATGGGTTAGGGTTATTCTATTTGGCAAAGTCCTTATAGGGCAGCAACCCAAGCCCACTGTGTGCGAGTAGCCAACAATGGGACACATCAGTGATGGCTTCCCTATCCAAAGAGTACAAGGAGGTTTAATCAGCCTCCATACAGCAGACCAGGAAGCAAATGTCTGGCTCTACTGTGCGTTCACTAAATAAATAAGCTGCTGTAGTTGAACTGTAAACACTATGCTGCCTGTGTGAACATGTATCAATGTGGTGTGTTAGCTGTGCTATAGAATGCCAGACTATATATTTCCTCCTGTTCACACCTGGCCGCCGGTCTTACTGGGCGACCTTAGTTCATCTCAAGGGTCCACATTTACCCTAACCGTCTGTGAATTGAACTCCTCTGCCACAAGAATGGGATTTCCTCCTGAAGACGCTCCGTTTCCTGCCTTCTTTATCCAACTGAATGCAATGTCACCCATGATTACTTGTAGTTGCTGCACACCATTTCAATTCCGTTTTTCTACCCCAACATGACACATTTATGACTAGTACTAGAACATTACAAAGGAACTGAATTAAAAGTAAGAAGTCATAAAAAGTTGCCCATTTGACCGTGATGACTGTGATTTACACCTTGACATTCTTGTTTGACTCCTGGAGTTCCTTAGTTCCCAAAAAGTGATTAATAATTCACCACCAGCCAGCAGACAAAGTTAACAAAAAGAAGAGATAAGATGTTGACTTTTTGACATCTTTTGCAAGTTGCTCTGTACTTTCAGATGCCTTAAGAGCAAACCCTAAAAGTAAACAGATGGAAAGTACAAGTACTGCTGAATTGTCGGACTTGATTCAATGTAATATTATTGTACTTTCCAGGGCTGCTTTAGCTCATAGGCAAAAAGAAGTGCTGTACTGTAATAGGCGTAAATGAATCATTGTTACAAACTTATGGGAAGATGCACACATGTAAGGGTACACTCACTTGTTACCTTTATCAATCAATCAACAACTGTATTAATCCCGCAAGGGGCAATTGGTTATGAGCAGCAGCTTATGTCATGAACACAGGCAGGAGCATACAGGAAGAAAACACACAGATGTGGATCATTCCAATTTACACAATAAATGGTTCATAGCATCCCAATAATAAATAAATAAATAATCAAGTTAAAAGCCTTTCAAGAATTTAAAAGTTTGAGTGCAGAAGGGATGAATGATTTTGCAAAGCGATTAGTCTTTAGAGCATATCTACGCCTTGATGGGGTGACAGACGAAATTCATGTGCAAGAACATGACCCGGAGAGTTCAGAATGCTCTCTGCTTTCTGCAGAATCTGCTGGTTACAGAAGGAGTTTAAGTTTCACTCCGATGACTTTAGAGCAGGTTTTAACAATATTGTTCAGGGCTGTTCCTGTCTTTCAGTGTAAAAAAGCAGATAATAAAACATGTTTAAACATGTTTTATACCATTTTATTTGTCCTTATGGTCATTTTATAAAGTGTTCTGCTGTTGAAAAGTACTGCGTATGTTCAAATGCATGCCTCAAGTCTTCCACTCCTCTAAGTGGAGCTGCATGGTGGGGACACATCCTCCCTGGTGCTTTTAAAACCACTTACAGTACCAACTCTGAACACACAAAGTACATTTGTGGGCCATTCATTTCAGTCTATTGTATTCATGTGATGTTGTCAGAGCTCTCCTATTGAACATTTGTTTTGATCACACTCACATTAACTTGTCGTAAGTCTTTGCCTCCCACCCCTCTCTTTGTCTTTCTATCCATTTCTACTTCAAAATGTTCTGTTGCAATTTATTTACCACCCATTTTGGTTGTTTGTCAACGAGTGTTTCTCTTCAAAAATGGGGAAAAGCAGAATAATAGGAGAAGATAAATAATAGGGAAAGATAGTAAACTGGGTCTTAGGGACTTAGTCATACATAGAGAGATACACATCATTTCAGTGGCTGTCGTGCTGTGTGTGCTCTGGATGGCTGGACTGTTTGTTTGGAGCATTTTTCCTCAAGGTCTCAGCTGGATGTTCAACGCTGCATGCAGGAATGCCATTTGGCAAATCGGACTGTGACCGAACACAGGGGGTAACACTGGAGCAGGACAGCATCAGCAGCAGTAGTGGTGGTGTCTCTTTTGCCCCCCCCCCCCTCCTATCCTGTTTCTCTCCTGATGTCTGCTGCAGTCCTTGCTTGTCTTTCACAGACAAACAGCTCTCTCTTTCTGTTTGGAACATATGTATAATAAAGCAACTCGTTCACATTCATCCTCCCGGGCTGCAAACTCTGGAACGTGGGCAGAGCTCTCTAAACAATGGTCCCTGAATAACGGTTCCATTAGAAATGCAGACTGCCCCACCGTAATTGGAAAATACCTCTAATGA